ATTTGTAGCAACTTTTCTCTCTGAGTCCAAATTCCACAAACCTGTGTAATCATCCTAAATACAAAAGTACACAGGATGCTGAGTGACTAGGACTAGGATGCACAGTCCATGATTCCTAACTTGTGAGTATGTTCAAATTGTTTCACCTTTCTTACTGCTGTACCTTGTAGTGGATACTGTTATACAATATATTTTAATTTAAAAAAAAGTATTTATTTACTTGAAAGGCAGTTACAGAGAGAGGGGGAGAGAGATATTAATTTTCCATTTGCTGTTTCACTCCCCAAATGGCTGCAACATCTGGGGCTGGGCCAAGCTGAAGCCAGGGGCCAGGAACTCCATCCAGGCACCTTATGTGGGTGCAGGGGACCAAATACTTGGGCCATCCTCTTCTGCTTTCCCAGGCGCATCAGCAGGGAGCTGGATCAGAAGTGGAGCAGCCGGGATTTGAACCAGTGCCCATTTGAGTTGCCAGCATTGCAGGCAACAGCTTAACTGCTATGCCAAAATGCCAGCCCCTATTATATATAATACATTTTATAAGGCAAAACAGCACATTATCAACTATGGATATTGAGATTTTTGTTTGGTTTATTTCTTCCAAGAAAAATATTAATCTGGTAAAAAAAAAGAAAGAAAAAAGTTTGAAACAATGGCTATTGCAGTAATTTCTTTTTTTTATTTAATAAATGAATTTACAAAGTGCAACTTTTGTATTGTTGTGGCTCCCCCCCCAACCTCCCTCCCTCCCACGGCCCTTCCCTCTCCCACTCCCTCTCCCATCCCGCCCTTCATCGAGTTTCATTTTCAATCACCTTCATATATACCCTAAGCAAGGATTTCAACAGGCTGCACTCATACGACCGCACAAGGTATAGGGTATTGTTCGACTAGTAGTGTTGTTTTTAAGTTTCATAGTAAAACACATTAAGGACAGAGATCCTATGTGGGGAGCCTGTACTCAGTGACTCCCGTTGTTGATTTAACAATTGGCACTCTTATTTATGACATCAGCAATCACCCGAGACTCTTGCTATGAGCTGTCTAGACTCATAGAATGGCAAATGCCCAAAACAGCACTCCTGCCTCAGAATCAACCCTTGGGACATTCGGATCTGGCTAAAAGGTCCATGAGAGTCTCACAGGCATGGAAAGCCATGAAACAGTGGCAAAAAGCAATCTAAATGAAAGATCCTGGTGAACAAGACCCCAGTAGTAATTTCTTTTGGCTCGCGAAGTCTCAGTTTTTCTGTTTATCAGAATAAGCATTTTTTTCTACTTACAACTCAAGTACTGAGGGAAGATTTTTGAAAATCTTGGAGTCAGGCCGGCGCCACAGCTCAATAGGCTAATCCTCTACCTAGGGGCGCCGGCACACTGGGTTCTAGTCCCAGTCAGGGCGCCGGATTCTGTCTCGGTTGCCCCTCTTCCAGGCCAGCTCTCTGCTGTGGCCAGGGAGTGCAGTGGAGGATGGCCCAGGTGCCTGGGCCCTGCACCCGCATGGGAGACCAGGAGAAGCACCTGGCTCCTGGCTTCGGATCAGCGCAGTGTACCAGCCGCAGCGCACCAGCCATGGCGGCCATTGGAGGGTGAACCAACAGCAAAAGGAAGACCTTTCTCTCTGTCTCTCTCTCTCACTATCCACTCTGCCTGTCAAAATAAATAAATAAATAAATAAAAAATATAAAAAAATAAAATTTTTGGAATCAAAGAATTATCAGTTGATTAACTCTTGCTTAATCTGGGTCTTGTTTTTCTTTTTCAAAATGAGGGAAAAATACTTTCTTTGTGATCATGGAAGAAAAAATATTCCCTAGACCAGCGCCGTGGCTCACTAGGCTAATCCTCCGCCTTGCAGCACCGGCACACCGGGTTCTAGTCCCAGTCGGGGCGCTGGATTCTGTCCCGGTTGCCCCTCTTCCAGGCCAGCTCTCTGCTGTGGCCAGGGAGTGCAGTGGAGGATGGCCCAAGTGCTTGGGCCCTGCACCCCATGGGAGACCAGGAGAAGTACCTGGTTCCTGCCATCGGATCAGCGCGGTGCACCAGCCGCGGCAGCCATTGGAGGGTGAACCAATGGCAGAGAAAGACCTTTCTCTCTGTCTCTCTCTCTCACTGTCCACTCTGCCTGTCAAAAAAAAAAAATATTCCCTAGAATTTACTATTATTTTTACTCTGGACTTACAATTTTTAAAACAATTGAAATTGTTTTGGAAGCAGCCATATATTTTGCCTGTGCTCTTTTATGGATATAACTCATGTATTTGATTATAATATAGTGATTAAAAAATATCCACGGTTCCATACTCATACTTACAGAAGAATTCTAATTAAGGAATGCAGAATAAGTGAGAGATTTTTAGGTAACCAAAATAGAAATTGCCATGGAGAAGTTCCACTAATGAATGCTAAACTCAGCAGACAAAAGGCAAAGCAGAGGGCAGATATTTGCCCTAATGGTAAGCTGCCCCACATCCCATCCTGGAGTGCCCAAGTTTGATTCCTGGCTCTGATTCCTGATTCCAGCTTCCTGCCAGTACAGACTCTGGAAGGCAGCAGGTGATGTTGAACTCAATCAAGTAGTTGTGTCCCTGACAGCTTTGTGGAGGCTTTGTGATGGACTTCCCAGCTCTCAACTCCACCCCAGCCCAGCCCCAGCCTTTGTAGGCATTTGAGGAATAAAACAGTGCATGGGAGCTGTCTCGCTCTGTGTGTCTCTTGCTGCCTTTCAAGTAATTAAATAAATGTAAAGGAAAAGCAGGGTATTTACAAGGTTTAATTTACAAAAGAAAATAGTAACTTAGTAACTTTATTTTTATTTTTTTAAAGATTATTTATTGGAAAGGCAGAGTTATAGAGGTAGTGAAAGAGAGACATCTTCCATCTGCTATTTCACTCCCCCATTGGCCACAATAGCCGGAGCTAGGCCAATCCAAAGCCAGGAACCTGGAACTTCTTCATGTGGGTGCAGGGGTCCAAGGGCTTAGGCCATCTTCTACTGTTTTCCCAGGCCATAGCAGAGCTGGATCAGAAGTGGAACAGCCAGGACTTGCATCGGGTACCCATATGGGATGCTGGCACTGCTTTACCCACTATGCCATGGTGCCAGCCCCCAGCTTAGTAACTTTAAATAGAGAATCCTATCAGGTACTTCTTTACCCAAGTGACCCTGGTTAATCTCACCAGTAACAAAACCTATACCCTGTGGATCTGGTGCACCAAGCAGGGTGCATCTCCTAGGTGGAACCCTTCCCCAAAAATGCAAAGCCCTGTGATCATGAGAAAACATCAGACAGATCTAAATTAATAGCACAGTCTACAAGGTAACTGTTGTTTCTCAAAGTGTGAAGGTCATAACGAAGACTGCAGCACTGTTACAGATTAGAAAAGACAAAGGAGATATGACATTATAATGTAGTGTGCATTCACACATAGTTTCCTGCAGCAGGGAAAAAAGGTAATGACAGAAAGGCTGCAATCTCAATACATTATGCAGTTTAATTCATAGTGTTATAATGTTAACTTTTTAGTTCTGAAAACTTTACTGTACTTACGTAAGATACTAACATCAACAGAAGCTGAGCATGTGGAAATGATGTACTATATTTACAACTCTAAAATTATTTCAAAATAGAAGTAAAATATTAATGTTTAAGAGTTTCTTTTCATGTATCTTCCAGTTACTTATAAATTATCGGTGGAGGGGTGAGCATTTTGGCCTAGTAATTAAGACATCAGCTGAGACCCTTGTATCCCATTTCAGAGTACCTGGATTTGAGTCCAGGCTCTGCTTCCAATTCTGACTTCCTGCTAATGCAGACCATGGGAGGCAATAGGTGTTGGCTCAAGTAGTTAGGTCCCTGCCATCCACATGGGAGGCCTGGATTGCATTCCCAGCTCACAATTTCAGCCTTGCTCAATCCCACTTGTTGCAAATATTTGAGGAGTTCATCAGTGTAATGAACTTTGTCTATTTGAGAGACTCAAACTGGTGCCCATATGGGATGTCAACACTGTAGGCAACAGTTTTAACCTGCCATGGTGCAACACTGACCTCGGTGTGATAGTTATTTTGGTTGAAGTTTTAATAAAAAGCTTCAGTAATCAAAGTTGAATGAGCAGTGAAACCAGAGGCAATTCAGGAAATTAAAACATCTGAGATAAGTCAAATACTTTTATCGTATTTTTTCCAGCAGTATGTTAGACCTTGCAAACTTTCCATAGCTCTTTCTTCCTATTTATTGACTGAGTGTGGCCATCTATTTTAAACCTTCTCCAAGCTTAAGGTGTGTTATGCTTGAAGAGTTAAATTTGCTGTGCTTGAAGGAGCAGAGATTTAGAAAAGGGAGCTTGGCAATTAGGGGTTGTCTGAATGGCTAGTATGGAGCCCCTCACTTTTATGATGGTTAGAAAGGTCCAATTGTAAGATGCCAAAGCTCTGTGTATGGCACTGTCATCCTAATCCTCCAGTGGATTTAACTTGGGTTTTGATTTTAGAGATTAGCCTGGTATTTGGCAGATACAGTTCAACACTCTTCATTGGGCTCAGTCTCTTAAATTATTTCTTGTGCTCTTTTCACCTAGTGCTGTATTAGTGGCTGTAGAAATGCAAAACTTAAGATAATGATCTGCCAAAAAAACACAACCCCTGCTCATTTAGAAAGAAGACAACCATGAAGGCATGTAGTGGATGGAAAGAGTAGAGGCTTTGTAGATTTTATGATCATACCTTCATTATTTCTAATAATTACTAAGTCTGTGGCCTTGGTTATTTATGTAAATTCCCTTAGTGCTATTATTTACAGTATAGGATAGCAACATCAAACTTAATAAGGTTCATATGACACATAAGAAATGTTAATAAACAGTGGCTGTTGTCATCATGGTGGCTTTTGTCCCAGTGGATAGACCATTAGAAAACAAGGTAGTTCATTCATCATACTAAGTAAATGTTGAGTACTGTGGTAGGTGTGTGACCCAGTCTTTGTGTTTTTCCCTTTTAGAGATGATGAAGAGAAAAAAAAGTCTCCCTCAGAAGGCACTGATGAGAAGGCTAATGGAATGCATCCGAAAACCATTAGTCGCATAGGCAGCACCACAAACCCATTTTTGGACATTCCTCATGACCCAAATGCTGCTGTGTACAAAAGTGGATTCTTGGCTCGGAAAATCCATGCAGATATGGATGGAAAGAAGAGTAAGCATCACGTTTATAATTTTATATTTTATTTATTTGATCTTTAGGCTCAAAATTTAAAGTGAGTTGATTTAAAATACAATCCAGAATAAAGAAAATTATGTTATCTTAATGAACTGTTCTTGCAGTTTGATAAAGCTTCTAACTCCAAATCAGAAATCCATTGTTGACACCTAATCTTCTCTAAGTAGAATTCTAGAACTTTAGAAATGGGAGAGAGTTACATACTATTCATTTCCCAATCTCTCTTCCATGGCTTCAGCAAGTAATAATGAATACCTATCACATGCTAGGCACCAAAAAATATAACAGTGGATAGAATGAGCAAGGTCCCTGTGTTCATGGAGTTTACATTGTTGGTGGTTTGGGGAAGCACCGACTTTACAATACATGAAAAATTACTGGTGTAGGTCCCAGAGACACAGGAGAGATCCCGAGCATGTACACAGCGACTGGTGTTTGATGAGATGCTCAGGCAGGATGTGTTGTCAGTATTGGGGACCTGAAAGAGTCTTATGTGATGGCCTCTGATTGCTCCGCGAAGTGTGAGACATTATCTTCTGAAACATAATAATGGTTGAAGATGGAGAAGAATGGAGTATGCTTGTATGATTAGAATAATCTTTGTGGAGGGTGAGATAGCAATTTTATGTGGTTGAACAGGCTAAGGTCCTTGCTAAGTATGCTCAAAATTTGTGGGTTATGGGTGTCCCTACCCTCCTACAGAGACTTGGAGTGAAGGGATGGACAGTACCACTGTTTCCATTTGTGGCTGGCACTGTTTCTTAGCGTATTCTAACAAGTTGCAGTCAAGAGAAACATTGTAACATAGTGGCTTGGACACAGACTTAATGTTTCAGTGTTCTGTAGGAGTACCTCCAACAGCATTTCCTTTGCTTATTTGCTTGCCTTGTAGAAGACTTGATTATCTCTAACAACATCCTGATTATTGCCCTTGAAACTGACAGCCAGTCAAACTAGCTTAGAAGAAGTGCATGCCTGAAGATGAAGGATTATTATCAAGACACATTTCTCCATTTCTATCTCTGCATTATTTTGCATTCTTCTGAATGGAGCCCATTATACATACCTGGATCCATGGCTATAAGCAACGCTATAAATCATGGGTTCAATTTTGACACCAAAGAGGATTCTCCTTCTTCCTTAAGTTCTTTTTAAAATTATTTTTTAAAATATTTCATATAAATTTGAGAAGCTGAGAAACAGAGAGAAGCGGGCACAGGAGAGCTCCCTTCTGCTAGTTCACTCCCCAAATGCCCGTAACAGCAGAGAGTAGGCCAGGCAAAGCCAGGAACTCAGAACTCAGCCTGGATTTCCCATGTGGGTGACAGGGATCCAACTACATGGGTCATCACTTACACATCCCAGCATGCACATTAGCACGAAGCTGGCATCAAGAAGAGCTAGAATTCAAACCCAAGTACTCTAATATGGGATATAGGCTTCCCAACAAGTGACTTAAGCACTAGGTCAAATACCAGCCCTTCCCCTAGTTTCTAATTTAGCGTATTCAGGATTTGTAGGACAGAGGGGCTATGAGAGGCAGCCCTCACTTGGTTGCCATGGCAAGAGGAGAGTTCCATGGAGAAGACGTAAGATACAGGTCTCAGGGGAAGGGAAGTGTTATTGACAGAGAAAACACTAGCTACCTCGTGTTTGCTCCAGGGTACACACACACCGTTCTCCATGCATTGATTCAGACAGTGCTTTTGCTAAACTGTACAGTTTTCCCTTTACAATCTCAGATATACCCATTTCTTTATCACATGCTGGTGTCCACCGCAGCTCTCATTTCCAAGGCTAAGATTTGCTGGTTGTGTTCATTCCTCTCAGTTAGCTATGGATGAAGCTTCAATCTAGAGGCTAAATGAAAAATCTAGTAATATCTGACATATCTCAAATAAAGGACTAGAGCAGAAAAAAAGAGTCACTGCAATTTAAAGTACCAGTTCAAAAAAAAAAAAAGGGGGGGGGGAAGCAAACAGTTCTCACTGATTCAAAGTAGACACTACATCTTGCTGGACAAGGGTGGCAAAGTTAACTCACATGAACATCTTTTCATTGACTCTTTCCTAGCAGTGGATTGACTGAATTGCCAAACTTTACCAAACTGTCCTCAGGTTCTGCCATCCTGATGAAAACGTATTTTTTCTGCTTTGTCCTGGGCCCCTTCCCCACCGGAAGCTCTGTGTAGGAATAGATACAAAACCTGAGGGCTGCTTTGTTTATTGCAGATTCCTTGTGCAAGATGGAAGCTTTCCTGCCAGTGTAACTCCATAAAGCTTCCGTTTATACTGTGAGAACTTTTGGTTGATCAGGGCAATTTCAGGTTTAAGGTTTTTTTTTTTTTTTTTTTTTTTTTTTTGTCTTGTCTTAGCAACTTAAAAGATTCTGCCTATTTTCCAAAGGGGTTTGCCTCTGCCTATTTCTGTCTCTGCTCCTGCATCGGAACAGAGGGAAAAGTCCATGGATAGGGTAAGACAGTGCCAGTTGGGCCCCAGTCTCCAGGCTTCTGTTCTGTCAGTTGCTTTATCATTATAGGAACTTCCTCCTGTGATTTGAGGTTACTGAGAGAAGCTTAGAAATTTCACCCTTCATTCCTAGGCTCTTCCTAGGTACCTATTATAATTTCTTTGGTTTCCAAATCACTTTAGTGGGGACAGATAAATGAACTTTTTCAGGATAAGAAGGTGCGTGCTTTCTAATAATTAGATAAAATAAAATTCAGCAATTTTAAAGTGTTTATTTTGAGTTTTGGAAAGTATAGACAGTTTTGTAACCAATGTCAAATCAAGATAAACAGTGTTTCCATTACCTGAAAAAGTTCCACTGTGATTTTTACAGGTAATGTCTTCCACCCCTGCTGCAGCCCGTGACACTTACTTATCTGTCTTTGAATAAATAGCATGCTTTCACCTATAGCATGCTTTCACCTTTTCTAGAACGGCAATAAATAGAGTCACAAGGACTGTTTTGTGCTTTTCTTCTCTCAGTTAATATGGTTTTTTACAGGTCACTTTGTCTCTTTTCATTGGGAAACATCGCTCCCCTGTTTGAGTAGCCTCTCCACTCGGCAGTTGGGCATGTGTGTTGTCTCTGGGTTTTGGCTATTGTAAATAAAGCTGCTGTGGATGTTCACGTACAAGTTCTGGCGTGCACATATGTTTGAGTTTCTCAGAAGTGACATTAGAATGAGGGAGTATGAGTGCCAGCTACCCAATAAGCACATGTTTAGCTCAAGACGAGGCTGCCGAGGTGCCCATACCATTTTGCATTCCTGCCAGCTACATACATTCTGTCCCCTTGAGGAATTGACTCCTTTGTCAATTTCTTATTTTGAAGTCTACATTGGTTGGATTAATATAGCCACTCCAGCTTCATTTTTAGTTTTGCATCAATATCACATTCTTTTCTATGTTTTCATTGTTAATCTGTGATTTTATCTTTAAAATGGTTTTCTTTTATATAGTACATCATTGGATTATTGCTATATTCTGACACAGTCTCTGTGTTTTGATTGTTTAAACCATTTTGACTTTAAAATTTATATTGATAGCATTCATAGCAGTTATTAATATAGTGGTCCTTAAATATGCCATCTTGCTACCTTATACCATTTTTTTTTCTGTTCTCATTCCTTATTTAAGATTTGTGTGTGTGTGTGTCTGTTTTCCTTTGCTACTATCTTGTTAGCTATACCTCTATTCATTTTAGGGGTTGCTGTGGTATTTACAGAATCCATCTTTAACTTGCCAGTCTACTTTCAAATTATATGACCTGGTGTGTAGTGTGAGATCCTTATAACAAGACACTTGCCTTTTTTTTTATTCTAATGTTTGTGTTATTGTCAGACATTTTAATTTTCTTTGTTACAAAACTGCCAGTAGAACACTGTACCTACTGGTGAGAAATTTACTTTGTTTCATCAGTATGAAAAGGTCTGCACTCTTCTCTGATTTTAGGAACATATGTCTATGTATATAGAATTCTTGAGCAATGACTTTCTTTTTCTTTCAATACTTTGTTGTGCTGAAATGTCATTCCATTGTCCTATGTCCTGCATGACTTTGGACAAAGAGATCTGCTGTTGTTCTTGCCCATGTTTTTCCGTACCCAGTGTGTTTGTTTTCTTTTCTTCCCTTGGATGCTTTTGAGATTTTTCTTTGTCTCAATAATTTTCAGCATTTTTGTTCTAGGCGCCTTATTATGATTTTCTTTATGTGTTCCTCATTTGTTGTTTGTTGAGGTTCTTGGATTCACACATTTCTGTTTTTCACCAATTTGGAGAATCGTCAATTGTTATTTCTTAAAGCACATGCTTCCCTTTGTAAGATGCATTTCCTGTGTGTTACATCACTTCATACTATTCTAAAACTTTACAGAGCCTGTTTAGTTTTATGTGTGTGTGCATGTAATTCTTTTTTGTCCTTTTAGTACCTTAGTAATTTTTATTCTTCAAATTTACTACAATATTTTTCATTTAATATATAATATTTTATATTTAAAAGTGCAATGTTAATTTGTTTTGTATTCTCCATTTCTCTCCTTATCAGTTTCATGTTTTCTTAATGTTCTGAGTATACTGGTCGTATTTATAGTGGCTGTTTTAAGGTCCTTCTCATTGTACCTTCCAGCCACGTCTGGAACTGTTACACTGATGCATTTTTCTTTTGGTAAGGATTATACTTCCTTTTCCTTTGCATACCTAGTAATTTTTATTTGAGTACAAGACATTGTGGTTTTTCTGTTTTTCAAATTCAGGATTTAGTTATATTATATTTTAAAATGTTGCATTTTTCTTCTGGATGAGGTAAGTAACATGTAGATTAAACTATTTAGAAACTTCCTTTATCCTTTCTGGCAGGGGATCCAGAGCAGCCCTTGTTCTAGATCTTTACTCAGTTCCTTTAACATGGCACGGTTACTCTTCTACAGACTGTATCCAATGGCCCGCAAAGTCGATCCACTCTGGCCAATGA